AAAAGCTCTGGACCAATCAGAATGCTTAGTTCTCGGATTTGGCTATTGTCAATCGACTGCTTTAAAGCAGTCTGTCTCGGGGCACCGACCGAGGTGCCACGGGCTGGCTCGTGCTCCCGTGCTATCTGTTGATAGTTTTTCTTGCCGTGTTTCGCTACGGTATAGCAAGTTCTCGCTTAGTACAGTTCTCGCGTTGTTCTCGCGATATCCAGGAATTCTACGAATTCCTGTGAGTGTTACGGTGGTGTAGTGCTGTGCCTTAGTGCAGTGCCCACCAGTGTCCTTTGGATACAGTTCTCGGCCTCCATGGATTAGCTGCACCAGCTCCGGTGAGGATTCCCAATTCCGTGTTTCGCTACTGTATAGCAAATTCTCGATTCGTACAGTTCTCGCGTTGTTCTCGCGATATCCAGGAATTCTACGAATTCCTGTGAGTGTTACGGTGGTGTAGTGCTGTGCCTTAGTGCAGTGCCCACCAGTGTCCTTTGGATACAGTTCTCGGCCTCCATGGATTAGCTGCACCAGCTCCGGTGAGGATTCCCAATTTATTAATTGGTGAAGGGATCTCGATAGATAGTTAAGATTCGTTCTGATACGTTCTCGGTTCGTCGCTCTCTGTCTCTCGCACTATTTGCCGGACTCTTACTCCGACCCTCTCTACCTCAAACCTAGGAGCCTGAGCGGCCGTGCATTTCCGTAACCGTCCGCTCCCGTTCGTGTATCCAGTTGCGTTTGCTGATTTTACGCGACCCCAAAGATCAGCACCTACGGTTGCGTTTCTCGATTTTACGCGTCCCCAAAAATCGACAGGATCCGTCAAGCTATCGCCTCGTCCGATAGGTTCCGTCAGAGCTCTCGTTCTTGGTGGAGTTGGGCCTGTTCCACCCCAACTCCCAGTTCATACCGGCTCGTCAGTTCCCGGTGAAAAAAGAATTGGCTGGCGGCCGCTTGGCTTGCGGATGCACGAACGACGGGTGGACGGCCGAAGGTAACGTAGGTTGATTCTCGAAGATAGTCGTTCTCGTATGTTTTGCTATCGGCGTCGGGTCATAAGTTAAAGAATTACGTTACAAAATAAACCTAACATATCGATATAATAGCTATCAAACTATCTCGAATCGCATCGTAATGTATAATTTTCAGCACTTAATAAAGTCCAACCACTGAAGCGCAGCGTCTTTGAGGATGACATTGCAGCGTTTAAAGAAGAATCGACGCCCATCGAATTGTCAGCAGCAACGAGTCTTAGTTCTCTAACGATAGACGACGAGCCTAAAATAACAAAGGATTCGAAATTACGAGATAATGTTGAAAGGTATAAAACGACAAAAACAATACCTGAAGAGACAGAACGCGATGCTCCGGGAAGTGTAGCAACCAGTGAAGTTCCTGAGGCGGAAGTAGATCAGGATCCAGTGAGCGATGGCGATGACGACGACGAAGACATACTTGCAGCTTGTATCAGTATGGGAATGCAAAACAATAGGTACTCAAATTTACACAATATTAAAGGCAATGTTTTTTATCGAAGGAAAAATAATTATTAATACTTAAAACGCAGATACAGACAGCCATTCAAGAGACCAAATCTTCAGAAAATTACACTGCCTCAAGTAACAACTAATTTAGTGAGATATCAGACTAGTTCGGCCTTGAACCGTTTAGATGCCAGTACCGCTGTACCTTCCGAAAAAACATCATCTCCTGGTCTTAAATCAAAAAGCAATGTGGACGTTGTGGTCGCTCTTGATTCTGTTCACATTTACTGTACAGAAGATACGCCAGCTGAGATCTCTCCGGTTGGATCTCAGTCAAATCTATCAGCATTGTCAATGCCAAGTACACCTGGTGAATTTACAAAGATTCATCTTCGTGAGTCACTGCAAGTCGAGGAACAATCGTTGCACCTTAACGAGCTCTCCGATGACAGTTCAAACCTTTCTGGAGACGATGAGAAGATTTTGGACGAGTGTATACAGTCAGGAATGCCACAGGTTTGTCCCCTATTATTCCTACTGATACGTATCCTAGCAGATGGATGATTATTTAATATTTCATACATTGACTTGGTAGATACGGCAAAATACTCCACCACCAACTAATTGTGTCTCAATTGCGAATAAACCAGAAGCGCTACTTCAGAGATACAATCTCTGTGGTACTCCATCTCCGTCTCCTATTGAATCTGCTCTTGGAAGCAGTAAGACTGTAGTTCATTCTGAAGGACTTCTACCTCCACCTGGAGAGAATGAAAATGTGTTATCCGACGACAGCTCTAATCTCTCCGAGGAGGAAGCTATACTTACAGAATGTATACAATCTGCTATGCGCAAGGTACTCTCGGTATTCATATAGATAATATTTATAATTAAAACTGTCAAACAATTAGGTAGTACAAAATTTTGTAGTGAGTCATTAAAAAAATTTTATGATAAATATATAACGCCATTTGCTCTCGCGCTCGAAACACGTATTAAATGTGAAAAGCCATAAATTATTTGTGTTTCAGGGACGTTTGAGTCCGCATTCAAAAAAATCGTCAATAGCACCAAAAGAGACTGAAACACAAATAGATGGAGCGAATCTCCGTGAAACTTCCTCGCCTCCATCTTCGCTAGTTCTACTTGAGCCAATGCCAATATCAACAGCACAAACTAAATCCGAATTATCCCCGGATGGATCTAGTCTTTCCGAGGACGAAGATATTATTTTAGCTCAGTGCATTCGTTCTGGAATGCCAAAGGTTAGTCATACAGCTCGTACAAATTCTAGCTGAATAAAAGTTTTCATCGCATCTTCCCAAGTGTTAATATCGATTGCGTTATCGCTATGCGAGTTTTCATTAATTCTAGACATCAAAAATTCTTCCTCTTATGGTATTTTTGCATCTTTTAAAGAAACTTTATTGCTACGTGATGTTGATATGCGCCATAAACTGTTCTCATTTTTTTCGTTGCGAATAGGACGTATTAATAAGTATTCCGCGGTACACTGGCAATCTTTTGTTTCTAAGTCTGAATATTTAGAACTAGTTCAAAGTTAGTAGGGCAGCTCAAGCCGTTCATGATTGACGGTCTTGATGATAAGTAAATGGGTTAAAGAACTTTGATTCATGTTACGACAGAAATATTATGTTCAACGAAACGATAGTATTTTCCAATGAAGTACCGTCACAAACCTAAGGTCTGATGCACACGAACGCCTGTCAATGCAGACGTGTAGTTAAAATATCGCGACTAAAACGCTTGATAACAGCGTACACTTTAGGAGTATGTGAAAATATGCATAAGAGTGTCACACACTGAAAATGTGTTAGCACTAATAATCGGATTAGGTGGCCTGTATGATTTCGCATGTTAGCATAATGTTGTCCATTAATGCGAGCGGTTTTAAAGTATTTAAATTTTGATGGAATGATTCGATTGATTTTTAGAGATATCGAGATAATCTTTCTCGATTTTCATACTAACCTGACCTAACACGAGTTCTTGATGTAATCTAAAGGATTAATTGAAATAGGCTCCAACGTTTTACTAGTTGAATTTTATTTTTTTTCTTACATTACACAATTTTCGGACTACTGCCAATTGTAAGTTTATTTACAAACACGACTAATTATAAATTAATGAGGTAAAGAGGAAAATTCATAGTTCATTAATGACAAATTGATGTGCGGCTGTACTAATTGTGACATACTGTTTAAGATATAGTTTATGGCTAAATATCTATACAGATGGCTATAGTATACTAGACTGTGCATTTTATTATATTGCATCCGAATGACTTGGAAATATTTTCTAGAATACTGTGGATCGTTCCATAATATCAATCAACTGGCCAGTTCTTTGAGGTTGTTATTTTTCTCTCGAGTCTTATTTTCTTGCTTTGAACTAATTGCTATGACAGTGATAATATTTTTATTGATACTCTTGCATATAAGACATTCATTTTATACAGTAAAATTTTATGATCGTAAACACTAAATTTCCTGTAAGTTAATTTTTAAATATTAATTTAGCATTTAAGTGTCCCATGTAACGAAGTCTGTACAGACTTCATGTACAATAGTTTTTCTTACGGTTGTCATTGCTTGAATTTCGTATGCAAATTTGTCGGGAAAGTAGAACACGTAACTGCTTTATATTCCATAGAATTGTAAAACTGCTTCAAAGTTTATGCAATTGTGAACGCAAATGTTTTAACGAAAAGCAGCTCAGGGGAATTGGACTCGTGAAAAATGAATTTTCAGAAGTTCGCGTTATCTGTGATCAGAAAAGATTGTACCTTTTCATTATTCTAATTCTCATTTATACTTATTTATCTATGTATACATATGCGCGATTCATCAATCTTGCAATACCCTTACGTTAATGTATAGCCAAGCTTTGCTTCGTATATGAGTTTAACTTGCTGTCATGTCTTATCACTAAATCGTGATTAAGGTGAACAGTATAAAAAGCCGTCTTGGACGACATTAATCAGTGCACAAACAATGAAACGAAAAATAAAGAGAGCGAAAATATTTTTCCTAAGGTATGCGTTTACCTTAGAACGAATTTATGTCATAAAATGGAGAGTAATGGACTGGATTTTTTTTTAAAGAAACGAGATCTCCACTCGTTCTATATCGTATTGCATAATATCGTTAATATTGTATGTGTTTTTTGTATATAAATTTAATATAATTTTCTTCTTTATCGTCACACCCCCATCAAAGCAGTGGACCCTCAATTTCTATCAAAAAATGGACGACAAACTTTTTCATAAATATCGAAACGAATAGCCACTCAAGAAAAGAATAGTCTTATAAAAAATTATATAATACCAGAACGATTATCTTACAATTTAAAAAAATTGTTTCTTCATATCCTAACGCGAGGCACAAATATATCGTACGAAATGTCTTCCGTATCCTGGATCAATGACATCGTAAAATGATTTCGAATTCACGTATATTATATCGATGTCAATAGGTTTCTGTGTTGTATCTTTTTAATCTTCCATTAATCATTATTGTAAAATATTATTCGAGATGTAATAAAGTTTGTATAAAATCAATGAAAAACGTATCTAGCTATTACATGATTTTCTGGTTTTCCTCGACAAGTCAACTGCGAATATCAATTCGTGATCCGCGAGACCTTGATTTGACTAAGGTTTTCTATAAAGACCTATGTGAAAACCTCTATTACACGTTAGGGTTGGTCGAGCATAAATTCAAACCGCCCCTCGACTATTACCGTTACGTTTTTTTCCATGAATTACCGACCTACTCACGCATCCAACATCCTACTCTATATGCGTGCACGCATAAATACTCCTTATGCACTCTTATGTCTCATATTGTACGACAAGATTTCAAACTGTCATCTTTATTCGAATAAGGTAGGTGCGATTAACCGTCAACTGCAAGTGCCCATACTGAACAATAATACTATCTACATATTTTAATAAAAAATTTCTATATCAAAACTATAATACATTTAACAATCTGTCTTATTACCGATTTCGTAGTAAATAAATCTTTGTGGATCGTAACGACAAAACGTATTTATTAAGACACGTAGTTACTCGAAAACAACTTTCGAAAGAATTGTCAGTTCAGTGTGAGCAAATTTTTTAATTCAGACATAATTATCTTGTACTGACTATAGCCGTAAGATTTTTGTATCGTCAGTGTACTAGTAAATTATATTATATTTGTAAAAGTATATTTTTATCGGGTACAGATGCCGAGCAGTGCTTCGCGTTTATTTTTCCTAGTCTTAGCCGTGGGGATAGGAAGAATATACACTGACGAAATAGCCAACTGGGCTCTGGGTTTACGAGCTTTTCTAAAGGATTGTCCCGAGGTGCCTTGGAATACTTCAGAAAATCAAAAGTTTCTTGATTCTCTTCGTCATTGTATGCAGCATCGTGCTGTTGTTGTTCTCGATGCTTTGCTCACGGATGATACTATTCCTATTTTTGATGGAATTAATCTTGTGCGATTTGAAGAAAGTGATTCGAATATTACGGACGTTGAGTCCGACAGGTACGCATATCCGATACTATTTTTCTCGTAAATAAAAATTTTTTCATGCACAATTTTCAAGCTAAGTACACTACTGGCAGTAACTACTGTTTTTGATCCGTATGAAATTTTTACCTGGAATAAGTCCTCCTTACCTATCTGTAATTATAGTGTTGTCTGGAAAATAAGCGTCATATAGTCTAGACGTTCCATAAGTGAGATCTATTTATGTCTATACAGAGATGAAGCTAGCAGCAACGTGGAGAAAGAGGAACGTGAAAGTGAAAAAAATTTATGTGACATTTTGATAAATCGTCTGTGCAGTATTTTCCGGACTCACGTTCTCAAAATAGATATTGACCAGCTGTCAAATAGTATTGGATTAAATTCTGGATCATCTGCAGAGGATAAAAGTGATAACGCCTTTCAAGGTCAGCTTTTGTTCAATAATATATTTCACATGGATGATCGTTTGCAATGGTTGTTTCTTTTTTTTCCCCAGGAAGAAGACGTCGCCACAGACGACGTCACCATATGATGCCTCTTATGATGATGGGATTTTTACTGATGGGTAGCATTCTCATTCCAATGGGATTCCAGTTTTTAGCTGTTCTGGGCGGCAAGGCTTTGATTCTCGCCAAGATGGCGTTAATGCTGTCGAGCATACAGGGTTTGAAGAAGATTGCCACTAATGGTGTTAACTATGGCCTTTATCATAGTCCAGTTGCAGAGGGATGGCACGAAAGAAGTCACTTAGAACCACCGAATCATTTCGATGGTCCCTATCATGGATATCCTTCACAGCCTCATCCATAACGTCACTTCCGTTAATTCTTTAACGTTTTTCATGAAAAGTTATGGCACTGTATCTCTATGTTTATTTATTTTAATATAAATGTTATTTATTCATTTAAATTAGTATATCCGTTTCTTGATACGCGGAAAAAGATCCAACTAGGATAACCAAAATATTTGTAAATCGCATCGGGTAAAATTATTTTGTCGACTACTTTATTATTATTTTCCTTTTTGAAATCTGATTTTGACATACAGGATGTGCCCTGTACATACCTATAAGAAGCGTCTCTCCAAGTGAGAATTGTAACTGATGCGTTATTAATAGTTTGCTGCCTAGCAATTTCCTCGTGAATTGCTGGCAAACTTTAAGTTTCAATAATGAGCCGGGAAAATATCAGACAGTCGATGAGATAATTTCACCTCATTGGAGGAGTCAACCATAAGGAAAGGAAGGGGAAGGAGATAGCTTCAGCACCACTCGTGGCACATTTTCGAACTGTTACTCGAGACGATATCGGACCCGATTTCTTAAGACTCTTACATTATAGTTTTGTCTTCTGTTTTGCCTCTGTGTTGTGTCAGTGGGAAAACGGTTTTCTTTCTGTATCAAACAGTAATAGCCGAAATGGAGGAGAATCGAACATCGGAAAGTGTCGTTGTGTTACCAGACGTGTCCGAACCTTCGACGAGCGAAACCCAAGAAGCTTCGACCCTAATTGGCGATCATAAAGCCCATCCAGCCGCTGTAATGACGAACGGCTCATCGGTTTCAGGAGTTACCGGTGTTCCCGGTACTGAAGTACCGTTTTTTCTGTCGGTAGGTTCAATAATTGGAGTTACTAATTCGAGCAATGGAACGACCACGGTCTTGTATACAGGTTTCCCTACCCTCACCACGTTCTAGCTTATAATTGCTAATGTGGCCGGTTTTGTCAGTTTTGTCCGTAATTGCTAGTGTCGACGAAGCCTGCTGACTGCTGCTGACCTATGGCTAACATAGCGCAGCTAGCAGGTGCTAGGCTCTTTCAACACTAACGCCTCTTGCGGCAGTGGCCACCTGATCCGTCTCTTAATTTCTTAAATTATAAATTTTGGCTCTATTTCGAAGACGACACAACATTTTTTGATGCAGACAAGCCCTGTACGATCATCTACGCCAAGGCGAAAAATAAATCTGGAGGTTTCTGATGGAGAGGCTCCATCTTATAAGTATGAGAGTGACAATTCCATAGATGAAAGCAACAATCATGAAAGTGACAATAAAGTTGTTGTTCCTGATAAGGATGTGTGGCCACAACTTGTTTCAATGGATGGATTGGTTGTACAGCAATCGCAACAACAAGATACTGTTACGCAGAATGTACATCAAATTGAAAATAGACAGAATGATATTTTTAAAAAACTAGATGAAATATGTAATAAAATGTTAGAGTTGGCATTAGAGTTTAAAACAACCCTGGAAGAAGCAAAAGAGTTGAATAGGCAGCAACGCAGAGAGCAAGCATTAGCTACACAACCTGGTGCTAGGGGTGGTCTTAGAGAGACAATCGTCTGCAGCCAACCTGAGATACTGACAACAAAAAGGTAAAGTGTCTAAAGTATTTGATGACTTTTCAAATAACAACAGGTTGATTTTCTTACTGCTTGTTACAAGTATTTACTATTTTTTTTAAAACATACTTGTTACACTAGTATACTAATTGTAACTAGGAAGGACACCAAGAAGAATGCATCTGAGGAGCAGCGAGATAGTGATATTGATTGTTGAGAATAGCAGCAGGGACGCGAGTGTCTTGACAATAATAGCTGGTGATCATTATCTAGTGTTTCTTACTCTAATTCATCAAAAGAATCCTGAGAGTGAACAAATGGACATCGCAAATTTTACGAACGTAGGTAGAGATAAAGACCTGAAAAAAATAAAGTTAAAAAGAGTCGTGAGTATATTGTAAATATAGTAGCTAATGTATTTATAAAAAAAGAAAACATAAAAAATGTTATACAATAAACTTGTATTCATATTGTTTGACTGTAGAAGATTTAACTTAATAATTTCTGTAGTGTTTAAGTCTACACAGAAATGCATTACCACTATTATTGAAGATTCCCAAATAGCCGCTGCATGGGGAAAGTAACAGAGCCAAAGACTTGGAAATTTTTGTATTAAATGTTGGAAAATTTGAAAAAATTGTGGTCGTCTGAATGTGCATCATTTTAAACGCATTTTACTTGTCCTCGAACGCGAATGCAAGTATTTCCGAAGTTAGATTGAATGCTTAGTATCATAGAGATTCATAACGCCTTGGCGACTTCCAGCAGTGAGAAGTTGCCCACTTGGTAAAATCGCGATCACCGAACCGGAGAGGCAGCCATCGTCCACTGCGCGATATACGCACATACGTCTATCAATGTCCCATAATTGTTCAGTACACAGGATGATTCCGTACCAGCGTGACTGAACAGTTGTCGGCTATCAGGCGTAAAGGTAAGAGCATTGCAGTTTTCATTTATCTTCCATGTATACACTAGTTCTTTATTCCGACAAGGTAGCAAATGTATTTCACCCATTCTTCCACATACAGCAATGAATCGGGCGAAATCTCAAATTTCTGTGAAGAGTAATATTTAATCATAACCATAATTCAGTCCAACCTAGAGTTTTGCAAATCTTCATATTCGTTATTGTACGTGCCACCGGTGTTCTTACAGTTCCAATAATCAAGTCATACATATGACAAAAGTTATGTCTTGGGGAGCCTACTGTGATCTCAAACCCATTTTGTGTAAATCTTGTTCTGTCAACGGAAAACTTTGAAAATTTCATACTGTGAAACTTGTTATTTTCACGGCCATGTTAACTCTGTACATTAAACCTCTTTGCTGCTTGTAGAAAGAATTTATAACGTTCCCCGGTACCAAAGGAGCCTTATTCAATATGCATATCTTTTCCTTACCGATGCTCCAGTTAAGTAACTTCTATACCGTAATAATAATACTTTATCCAACTTGATAACTAATTTAAATAAGTATGTTTATCATTCGCTCGAAATCTCGAAAACAATCACGCTCGTCCCTTGCGTACAAAGTCAGTCATAATGTAAGTCACGTCACGAATAATGTACTTAAAAAATATCTAAATAATTCAAGAGTATTGACAGCTAAAAGGTACAGTAAACAGAATTTGCTACGAAACAAGTTGTTACGTCATTTATGATTATAGAATGAATTTTTGTTACAAAAAAGAATTACGAACTTTTACCATAAATTTGACGTCTTCAAATATACATTTCTCAATCTTATCCTGTAGCACTGTATATTATAGAAAAAATAAATTTTTATATTCGACGACTGATCAGTCATCTATTAATGCTATCGATGAAATTCGTCCCACGCATCACCCACGCGCAAATAGGATAACTTTATGAATAGTAATGAAATTAGTATAGCATAACGGTCACTTTCGGATTATCCTGACGTTTGACTAGTGTGTCCCTCTACGATCCCTTACGCTCTCGTACATAAATTCTACGATTATACCCTCACCCAGTTTTACAAACTCGTCTACAGCCAATCTCAAGGTATTACGAGTATAATCGAGAGTAAAGTGAGTAAAGTGAGAATAAATTATTATTAAAATTCACTTGGTAAATATTACAGCTGCTAAGATTTATCATAAATCAAAATATCAGGATGAATTCTTAACATCCGTATTGATTTACACGTAGATGAAGAATTTTATAGGTTACGAAAGAAAGAAAAATCCAAAGCACAGAAATTCATTAATTTCATCAACTCTACAAAGTGAAATTATGATATTGTCTCCAAGGCTCGTAGCAAGAAAATTCTTCGTATTACGTGCTTATCTCAGACACCACGTACGTATAAACATGGACAGCCTCTTTGGCACTTCTCGGGTTAGATTTCTTGATCTGCTTCGTGATCCTTGCCAATGATATTTTGCTATTAGGAGAACCATAAGAAGATATAAAGGATTACTGGCTAACTTCAGGTGGCGCTTTGGCCGTGACTAACCTTGTATGAAAAATGGATGAAGGCAAAGGCGTTGAATGGCAGGTATGGGAAAAATGAAAAGAAAAAGGAAGATTAAAAGCAAGTAAAGTCCTAGCATGATAAGTAACTACCTACCACCGCCATTATCTCTATTATCGACACTAGTTCTTAGGGATTATGCGCTGAACGTAATACTATTGAGTGCAGACGCCTATGCGCATCCTAATGCTGGGATTTTACTATACAGACCTATGTATACAATTCGCGTAGATTGTTTACCGATGCCATTTTCTTTCTGAGGGAAACAAAATAAAATAAATATATTCTCGGAAACCCTTCAGGGGGTACTCGGAAAGGATTTTTTCAAAGTATGCAATAAATTTGAGTTTTTATTAAATTTTGAAATTTAAAAAAACAATATCATTGCAAATCAATATACGGCACTGTAACCTCGTATTGGAGAATTATTGAACATTTAATTTTTTCCCATATCATTTCTAAGGTTTATCTTTCTCACTTGCTATCGCTTTCCAGTGTCTTCGGTACTTCAGAAAATCTTCAAACCGATTCAGTCGCATCGAGTTCACGATGGTAAAACATACAGCACTTTGATACATGATTCTAAGGACCACGTGGTAAACTTTGCTTTTCTTCTTTGACGTTTCTTTCCTGATACGTCAATAGACGCACTTGCTATGATTCAAAGACGTTAAACCTTCTATAGTGTTTCGATGAAGGAAGTCTGATTTTTTGTTAAATGAAAATTAGCCAAATACTTATTATCATTTATTGTGTCATTGCAAGGGGCTACGTTTAAAGCATCGTTTCAAGAGGACTTCTACCTCCAAGCACAGACTCCCTATGTATCCCTACTATCGCGCTGGCAATCTGCATGCACAAATCAATATTGTGTAAAAAGCAAAATTGTTTGAAAAAAAAATCATTTGTAAGAAACAAAAAAAATTTCTTATATATAAATAACAACAATGTTCCTTTAACACCCTTGTGCCATATAAACTCTCAGTTTAATAATCTTTTGCTTTGATACAGTAATACTAAAACGAGCAAAATGTCCCTGAGGCTTCGCTTGTCTGCTAGAAAAAATATCGTGTTTTTTTGAAAATATTATATATCGCACAAAGAATATCTCGTTTCACAGAATCCTTTTCAAGCTTGAGAAATATAAGGGGAAAAAAAAACTTAAACCACTGGTCTGAGACGCTTTGGAGAAATTCTATTAAAAAATAAAATTAATAGTGTCGTAGGCGTGCAATCAATAGCGTCGTGAAAGGTAGAATTAAATATTTTAATAAAAAAATAAATATGTGAATCAATTCGCAAATATTTGTTCTAGCTAATGGGTTGGTGGTTCGATAAAAAAAAATATATGACGAAAGTTTCAGTGGGAAGCAAAAAAGAAAAAAGAAAATTTAATTTTCTTCACTCCCAAGGATAACGTCATTCCAATAATCTATCAGCTGGTTCAATTCACATTGCGTCTATCTTTTCGGTATGGTCTTTTGGATTTCGATTAAAAGTTAGAACGGAATCGATGAAAGCGAATGAAATGATCGTAAGCCAGTGGGGTTATTGCTGTCGTGCCATAATTTAAACTGGCATCTTCGCATTTGACAACCATAATCGAATTTACTTTGACATAATATATACAGTGGAAATTTTCCGTGCGGTTACTTCTAACAACTAGCATCATTCACGAGATAAGGATGGTGCTATGAAAATATAATAAATTATTGAGAACCGCGGTTTTCGTTGGCTCTTGTTTTTAACTCGAACGCCTCACGCTTAAAACGAAACGACGAAATTTATCAGGCGCATATAATTGAAAATGTTTAATTAGGTATACTGCTGTTAATTAATTATTCCTAATTGCAATTAATACTCGTTGCAAGTATCAGGAAGCAATACGTATACAGCTACTTCATTGTTTGTCTCCTTTATCGTACAACGAGTTTCTATCGTGGAATCGACTGTCTGATAGCTTCCCGGCTCATTATTGAAACTTAGAATTTGCCAGCGATTCGCGAGGAAATTGCTAGGCAGCGAACTATTAATAACGCATCAGTTACAATTCTCACTTGGAGAGACGCTTCTTATAGGTATGTACAGGGCACATCCTGTATGTCAAAATCAGATTTGAAAAAGGAAAATAATAATAAAGTAGTCGACAAAATAATTTTACCCGATGCGATTAACAAATATTTTGGTTATCCTAGTTGGATCATTTTCCGAGTATCAAGAAACGGATATACTGATTTAAATGAATAAATAACATTTATATTAAAATAAATAAACATAGAGATACAGTGCCATAACTTTTCATGAAAAACGTTAAAGAATTAACGGAAGTGACGTTATGAATGAGGCTGTGAAGGATATCCATGATAGGGACCATCGAAATGATTCGGTGGTTCTAAGTGACTTCTTTCGTGCCATCCCTCTGCAACTGGACTATGATAAACTACTACTACTGCCTCAGATGATATATAAGATTGGGTGTAGAGAAATTTATGTTGTCTGTGCTGCATACGCGAAATAATGTAGCTTTAGGTAAAGTTGGAAAAATATAATTGATAATTTATTAAAAATATAGTTTTACTTGGATTTCGAACTGCGTGTTTAAGATTCGACTTGGACGAGACAGGAATTTTTGGTCAAATTTGAAAATATTGAAAGTAACGTGAACACAAGCTTGGAATTTGACACGGGTCCAAATAAATATACAGGAATATTTTTATCGTAAAATTCAAGCTGTGTATATATAATGGCAAAATGTGCTTCGAGTGACGAGTATAAAAGATTCGCCGATTACGCAGCTTCCGCCGAAGCTTTCTGAGATGCGTAAAGTAAAGATATTCGTCGCCCCACGCAAATCGCGGATCCCGGCGAGCGTAAATCCTCGCGGAATATCCGCAGTACTCGCAGCGTGCGATGGAGGCCAAATCAAACAGCTTTTGTAAATTTGATATCTCGTAAGTTTGCGTGCGGTCGTAATTCTCAGTAGTGTGTACCGTGTCTAGATACAGAGAAGAAGAGAGAGAGGCACCGCGCTATATCAGCAGCGTGGCTTAAACCTTCGACAGAACAATAACTGGAAAGCTTCTCAGTCGTTCGCGAGACTCCGGGACACATTTTGCTTACGTTCCAGGAAATCGAATCAGCATGCACGGACACCATTAACGACGTGAGTACATGTGCTATAAGCGTAAGCCAAAAACTTACAAAAAACATCAAAACTGCGATTGAAAAACTTCAAAATTACTTTACACGTATAATTGAAATATATTTAATAAAAAATTAATCATATATTAATTACGGCTTTAATTTCATAATTTTATAAAATATTAAATCCCTACTAAATCTTAACAAGGAATCGATATGACGGTAGTATGCTTGTTAGGGTTTTTATGTACTGAACCATCAATCATTTTTTTTTCCAAAACCCATTTTTTTTATTCCATAGTTTTTATGGCATCTTGCAGACCCGAGTTATCTAAATGGTACAGGTTCGTGTATCTCTTCGCCTGTTAGAAATCCTGTGTATTACTACTGATGAGGTATTGGCAAAGAGGACCAGCCTGGTGTATTGTATACCTGAGGAAATAGTCCATTGTGTATTGTACACCTGAAGAAAAAGTATATGGGAAATTAACCTTGCAGAAGTTCTATGATGGCTCCAGGTTATGACCCATGTTAACTGTGACCAGTAGCTGTCAGACTGGGTCCTATAAGGTTAGGTTCTCTTTGTTGGTATCTACTTTGGTGAGAGTACACGTGATCTGTCAGTTGCGCCAGTTTGACAGGAATAAATTAAAAGGAAGATATTATACACGTATCCTTGCAATTAGCCGACTAGCTCATTTTGTATTACGCTGTGCGAATATAGTGGATGCAACTGGTTTTGCATCATGCGAACAGGATGCTTGCACATGCATTAACCGATCAAACAGCTGTTAATAGAATGTGGCTTTTAAATTCAGGGTTGGGTTGGATATACAAATTGTGGAATATAAAAAAATGGTATCCGAGTAAAATTGTGATACAAGCGGGCGCGTTGAAAAGTTTTCTCATGTGATAACAGGAAGTTATGACGCGAGGGAAGAAATAAATAGGAAAGTTTTGTGTCACATGTGGCTTCTTTTTTTTTCCACTTTATTTTTCACCACTCGCCGATATTCGCTCGTCTTATCTTGAGTATTTTTGTGAGACAGTTTTTCATACTACGAGTTCGACATACTGAAAGTTCGAGGAAAGTAGGGAAAATATGTCGAAAAAATGGAGACGCGATTGGGACTCGGTGAATTAAAAAATTTTTATTCAAATTTTTTGTCGCGGATACGAATATCGATAGTGAATCTATATTTTGGATTGTATCCTACCGAAAGTTATCGTTGTTACGCAAATATTTGTGTTATAAAAATCTTGCCACGGGTGATATTGCAATTCGCAAAAATGTCATACTTTTATTAAATTCCATAGACGCTGACATTCTTTTAATATAATATTACGCGTGACGACGAATGAAAAAAATTCATTTTATTTTAGGCTTTCCGTGTATAAAATCTTAAGGAAGAATTTATCATGGAATGCGTAGAATGTCCCCAGAATTCGATTTCGTATAGAATTGCCATAAATTACGTAATTGTCGTAAAATAATCTGATCGGTTCCAAAGGATTAAACCCAGCCTGACCCTAACCTAAAATCAAGCATAATCAGAGATGCCTAACTTCGTTACTAAAATGTCTCTTTAATAAAAGGGATCGAGTGACAGAACTTTATATCGAGTAAAACAGGGATAAAATAAAATATAATACCCGGTGGCTTGTTTGACTTAAGACGGAATTTAAAGGGATTCAAGATCCAGAAGGGTCATAGGGTCACCATAAAAACGACGACTACAAATCGTAATCGCGACGTATAACTCGATGAAAATGATTTACAGAGATCGTTGAGTTAAAAATAATAATAATAAAGCGGTATACACGTGGCTTTTGACAAGGCGTCTTCCGGATTAGAATTCTGTGACTGTGAAGAATTGTTTTGACGTGAGCGAGAAGACCGTTAAGTCCCGTTTGAAATTTACACGTGCAATGGCGTCGCAACGGGGAATTATATTTCAAGCGCAAAGAGTTTCGGTACTGAGAACTTGCGGGTAGACGACTGAAGACAAAGTAGAAGGAAGGAATACTGGGATTTCTTAATGATGTCGGCTGAGTACGTGGACCTGATTTATAAAAAGAATAGGTGAAACATAATCACTGAATTATCGTTCAGATGTGAATATGGTGTCGTGGGATTTTTTTATTTTTGTAAAATAGTTCAAACGAGTGACGATCGTTATACTGTTTCTTCTATTTTCAGATAAATCTTTGTGAAGCGTTGTGTAGCGAGGTACATTTACTCGTAGCTGGTAATAAGTCCTTTGGCGATGCTTCTTGGGGTATGTTGACTCGGATTTTACACGGCTTTGCGAAGACATTGAAAAATAGGAGTTTTACTGTTTTGAATGTATTTAAGAAAATTTTATTTAAAAATTTGATCGTATTTTTGTTTTTTTATTATACTTTTTCCTGTTGCAGTTCATACAGCGCACGTGTGTTTAGGGGACTGAGATAAAAGATATAACCAAGTATCTTTGAGATAACTACAATGGATATATTGTATTTATGTTGAGTGTTCACGAAGAAGATTATTAGTGTTAGAAAGATAATAATTGTCTGATTGTCAGCAGCTATGGCAAAATTCTGTGGACGACTGGCTGTCAAGTATTGGGATATTTTGTTACGTTTTTGGAATGACAGTAACGATCAGCGGGTGATTTTGATATTGTAGTTGAGAATATTTTTTTGAGGTTGCATTTTTTAAGCGATACGAATTTTGATATTTTATTGGTATCTTGTTATCATATACCTTGGTGTCTACGTCATCTTTAATATTTGGGTAATTATAATCATTTTTGAATTTTTTTTTCTCAATGTGATTATAGTCAAGGGCGGTTGGCATTATTTTGGAATTATTCATTGTCCATCATTGGGTCATTTGACACTTTATGGTGATCGATCACACAACTTGAACCAAGTTGGATTCATCAATTTGCGAACCCACTTCATGTCGTATTTTGAGACTGGATGCGTTGGGCCAGCATCGCACGAAGCGTCAAATTTCAGAAGATGAACAAGTGACCAAGATAATTTTCCTAGTTACGAAAAATTTAGCACGTTATCGTAATTGAAAGTTTTTTGAAAAAAAAATTATATCCAAATTTTGTTCTTTTTTTGATTTTTGGTTTTGAGATGTTATCCATAAAATTTGCAAATCTTTACGTTTTTAATAATCCAATAGCTTCCAAGTGGTAGTCACTGAGTCTTTACTGGAATTCTCTTTTCTTTACTGACAATACGATTGCTTTGAGCTCCCTCGAAATTCCGGCGAATAAACTTTTTTAATGTAAATCACTGTCAGTGTCCGAAATTTTGAAAAATCTTGTCTGTGCGTTTCACTGATAAAATTAATATTTACCTAAACAGACGTTACTAGACCATACTCGTGTATCATTAGACGTTATAAATTATTGCACTCTCCAAATAAATCAAAAAAGAAATACATGAGAATTGCCTGCATCTCAAAAATAAGATTTAATAAAAATTTTGAATGTATAAATAAAAGAAATTGCCAAGATTAAATACTTTAACGATATTTTCCAATGAGAATTTTAGGGCCAAAAATTTTCTTTCCACCGATAACCTAACCTCACTTTTTTCTAACAATCAATATAATTTTTTATTTTCCAGCCATCATTCCTGGATCTTCCTCAAAGCAGAGATTCTTAACTTTTTTGCCGTGACAACGCAGTCATCCGTGATAAGAACGAAAGAAAGAACACGCGATCACAAAGTCTTTTAGGGATTTTGACAAATTTCATTAGACCTTGCAGGCTCAGATATTACGAAATTGGCTGCCAGATACGCGTTTGAGGTTAGGGTAGCAAAAGGTATCAGACATATATTGTGCCAGTAGTGATAAACATTGTTGCAAACATTGTTTGGCGCTAATGAAAATTGAGATTGAGCGCATCGTTTAAACGGGGGGTGCAATCAGTTAACATCCAAGAGTGTCCCGTGCTGGCGTCTAGGTTAACAATCGACGTCGACGTCGGCGTCGGCGTCGGTTGATGGTATCGGTGGTGCAAGTAGACGCTGGTGTTGGTGCCAGTGGAGGATCCGTGGGTTTCGGGGATGCGCAGCGAGGGCAGAGGGTGCGCTACGATACGACCGCCTGCCACCACCGGGTATAAGAGGGACGCCGTGCGTCGCGACGGCACAGACCAGCTTTCCGACGCCCCCGTTTCTGTCCTCTTGGTATAGTACGACCCAAATCAGGATCATCCTCGTACATTGCCATTCTCAGCTTCCTCTTCAGGATGCTTGGACCTATTGGGACCTTCGTGTTCTTCGTTTTATTTCAAATCTTCGGATTGGCCGTCGCGACGGCCGCGACGATACCTGATCGTGACTACCTTCAGCAACAGGTAAGCGGAATTGAGCTCCAGGCTAATTTTTATAAGTCCAAAAAATTTTTTTTCTATATGTTATTCAAAAATATTATAATTTATAATTTTTCAATATAGCATTTATAAATTTTACTGTTCGAGTTAAAAATCTTGGTTTGACCTTTTTTTTATGTAATACAGGTAAAGCGATAGTAATGCCACTTCTTGGCTAAGTTCGATTAATTTTTTTTTATCTTTTCGTGATAACATATTTTTTTTCTGTCTGAAGCTTAGTGGAAGTAATCTATGGCTGATAGATTCTTCGAATCTAATTATAGGAGTAGATGTCGTACGGAGGCTGTAATGGGATTACCTTAGGAGGATTAATCGTATTTTTATTTACCAAGAAATAATATGTCGAAGATCAGTTCTGTTTTTGGATAATTTTATGAAAAATTTGTCATTGTCAATGGTTTTCTTTGCCAAAGGTATTAATGGGTTTTCATCGATCTCTATTGATTCGCCATATATTACCCTGCGCTATAACCCATTGGCACTTGGCAATTTTTCTACATGGTTTTTGGCGCAAAATTTCAAAAAATTCTCCAGGCTTATAATATCACTTAGGAAACTCGTTCGCAAAAGACATTCTTCCGATGAAACATAATGACCTGTTGTATAATAACGTTAAAAATGCAAGTGCTCCAAATTAATGGCAATAGATGCACAAACGAATAATTTTCAGTCTTCAGTTTCCACTGCCATTGCATTTTTATTGAATGGTGAAAAAAAAGAAAAATCTTTTATAAACTTTCAACCAAGCGAATGAAAAATATAAACAAAAATTTATTCAACCCATCGTTGCATAAATATTTTTTATGCACACGTTGATCAGAATATTGATTTTTAGATCGAAAAACCTGAACTTGTACGTACCTACAAGTTTATATTACACCAGAAAATTTAGTCGACAAAAAACAAGAACCGAATCAACGTGAACATCGGTTAGGTCGCAGCCGAAGTTTAATCGAGATAAACGAAGTATGATATCGTCTGCAAGCTTTTGGGAGGATCATTTTTTTAAGCTGGCCAAAAAAGTGCGTTAATGGATAAATGACAGACGATCCCATAACAAACCTTGAAAAATTTGTCGATTGTAATTTTCGTTGGTTCCTGTGAAAATTGATTAAAAAAAAAAAAAAAAAAACTGCCAAAGTCAATTTACCTGACATCAGGGATGCGATTATAATTCATTATTATGACCAAGGACTTAGCTCTGTCAAATTCTTAAAAATTTATCAACCCACTGCTCTTTGCATTGTTTGCTCGATATCAACTTGTCTAATGGAACGTATCGTCGTATCTAGAGTCGTTAATATTCATTTAGTCAGGCAATTTACTTTTGTAAGAAAAGGGCGAGAATCACTAAGTCCCTTTGAATGTTAATTGGCCAATTTACCTAATAAAGGCAGTCGGATTTTCTTTGGTCTGTTCAAGAATATTTTTAGGAACGACGCAAATACCAAATTAAATCGTATCTTTTGTGTCGTATGTGTGAAGTTTTTTTTTTTTTTTTTTTTTTTTTTTTTTTTTTTTTTTTTTCTAAAGTCATTTTCCAATTATCGTTTAATATATACAAGAAAAAGGGAATAACACGAAAAAAGGTAATCATGTAAAAGCACGTAAAAATGCATTATTCGTGAATTTCATAAAATATTGATTAGGCCAAAAATTAGTTTTTTTTTTTTTTCTTAAGACGTACATACGTCAGTCTATTAGAAAAACACGCAATGACCGGCCATCCCAATAGTACTTATCTCGAACTGCAATTTTATTTATCGAACGCGTAATTATTTTTTTCGAAAAAAAAAAATCCTTCGCTTACTATCAGTGCTTCAGATATTATGAACTCGTATTATACTAGACAATTTGAAATACGTATATATAATTACAAATGGTCCGAACTCGATATAAGAGTATGTAGTTACATAATGAATTCGTTTGACGTTAAATTGGCGTCGAAACGGGAGTTCTTGCTTAATGATGGTACAAGATAATTGGCTGGGAAAACGAAGGGAAGCCATCCGAGGCACTATTATATAATACCTTGACAGTTACAATTAGCTGACTTCAAAGATCAATAATTGATTATGAATCGAATGTTTTTCGACAAGGTCTACACTTTATTTGTCAAATAATTCATAAAATAAAGTATTTGCTTTTTCGTTAGACTAGAAGACAGCTGTTTTAGATTTTTTCTTTTTAATATAATTTTTCACAGGAAAAAAATCGAAAAACATTATGATCGAGTAACATGTTTCCTATGAGAATTAAAGAGTAATAGGATTAGCTTCCGAGATAAAAAAATTGATATCGGCATTCAGGTTCTGAGTGTAGAGAGTAGGTTAAAAGGTTCAGCGAAAGAATCAGGCAAGGGCGCCTGTTCCATTTGATCCAAGAGGAAATGAACTGTCTCTGGAAACCGATTGGTGAGCCTCGTAATCCATATTGAAGCCTAACACCACTTTATGGATGTTCTCAATTTGCTTCAATCGTATAATAAAAAAAAATGATCGCAGTACAGTAAAATGTACGAGTCGGTAAGATATGAGAAAAGATTCGAGAAATTTAATAAATATAATTAATATTACTCATTACTATATGAATTAAATATATCATTACTAATAATATATATCATTACTCATTTACTATATGAATTAAATATATAAAACGAACAAATATTTTAATCAATCTCACATGGCAATGCAATCTGCACTGTGAATGAATCGTTAGAGAACAGTCTTTGATGTTCAAATGAAAATATGAAAATCATATAGAAAAATAGCAACTATTTTTAATGACTGTCATCGATCAGAGTAACACTCAGAATTGATATTGTGAACGTCCGTCTAAACAGGTTAGACCTGACTACACGTATAGTTAGTAAAGTTGATTACGCAGTCAAAGGGCAGGCAGCTATAGGAACTTAGTAAACGACCATGGACCCTTGTAAATGTAAAGCAATATTACTTGAAAGGAATAATTTTTTCTTTACAGATTCCACCGAGTGACCTATTAAAGGATCCAATTTTGGATATGTATCTTTTAGAAGGATTTCGTCAGAGACAGCCATCCACCCACTTTATCACAGGTAAGTTATCACGAATTGACCTTGACCCCATTAATGGAGCAAATTGACAATTTTTAATATTAACAATGATTTATAACTGGCCAATCAGTCATATACATCATTAGTGTCGAATATATTTTTACAAGGACTTTTAAGAAGTCAAGCGAATCTGTGACGAACGTAAAGGTTCGTTTTCATGTGATCGAACGATTTTTCTTTGATTTAGAGAAAAAAGAAAAGTGATACCTATTGCTCGTGAATATTTTATGGTTTTGATAATATTGAAATTCAATTTTTAGGTAGCAGTTCTAATGTTTACGAATAGGATGTAAATGCTGCATTATGGTCCCTAAGCATTGTATCTGGTGTATGTTGATATAATGGAATGGTCTCGTAAATTGATACTTTATATCGACAGTGTTCAAAGTACTTTGTACTGTGGTAAACGCAAGTGCTCGTGCAAGAGCGGAATCTAAATTCAAGGTCACACTTCGGTGCAGCTACCGTGAGCTTAAATGAAAATGGCGCAATGAAAGCTCTAATGGAATTGCATGCTTTGAATAGATACAATAGCGAAACTGCAATCTCGTGGTTTCTCTCTGAATATCGAGCTACAGATTGTGTACAATTTAGATAATTGTTTTGTGTTAAGAAACACTATAATTTCATTTAATTATCTCTTTAGTGTCATAAACGTTTATACTTTGAGTAAGCCTGACTATCAGTGCGGTGGACGTGTAAACACATTTTTGCCTGACACTCAAGGAATCAATCAGTAATAAATATTAACCATATGGAAATCCATTAACTTTTAGTATACAGTGCGATAGAGCTTTTAAATATTTACAGTAGATAAAGTGCTTGGCTATAGCTTACAATAAATTTATCTGTATCATTCAATAAGTCTATTTTATTTTATCATGAATTTTAATCAGACTGAGAAATGAGCGATTATTAAAAAATTTGTTAAATAAATGTTCTGCAAGTCTATCACAAGTGTCTAGCATCAATGGATCATAATTTTCAGTAATTTAATAACTTTATGAACCCCTTGTTGCTGCATTAATCAATTCTCTCCTATCTAAATATTCATATATACATATATACATATATATATATATATATATATATATATATAAGGTACTCAGAAAGACATTAATAATTTAATTTGTTTAGATTGCCTGTACGTGACATCAAAAGCTGGCTATTTCGTCTTCAAATCACCAAATGACGATCCTACAGTGTGCGGAATTTATTTCCTGACGGATCCTGATCGTCAGGTCGAGTTGCGATTTACGTTCTTCGATGTTCCCTGCGAGAGAGGTGGCCTTGCTTCGGTACGTCGTCCTGATTAAATCCATAGATTGAGCATCGTACGTGAGCCAATTTATTAATAGTTGACGACTAGTTCCGATTATTCCCAATAGATGAGTTAGTTTACTCGCTGGATCAGTAATCGCTTTTAGCTGTTCGTGTTCTCTTAATTTTCCCATGGCGTATCGTTCCGCCGACGTTGTTCAATGATTTTAATTGGGTACTAACTAGGAGGTTGAACAAAGTTTACTTGTTACCCTGGAATTACGTGTGTCTAATACCTGAGTGATGTTGGTAAGTTGCGGTGCAACGTTTATGCATTGTATTTACTTGTAGGTTGTCGATGGCTGGGAGCTGAACGGAGAAATCTTTCCAAGCGCAACCGATCATCCATTACCGATCGAAGATAGGGTATCTGAATTTTGTGGTAAACGAGTGAAGAAAGTTTTCCTGAGCTCCCAGAATGCAGCGCTTATTCAGTACAGGATACCTGCAAAGGGAAAAGGATTTACAGTGCTGGCACGTTATCCAAAACAGTCTACCCGTGAGTGTATCTATATTACTTGAGACTTTTGGAATTTTCGAAATTTAATACACCAATCAGCTTTCGTCGAGTCTCTTGTTTTGTGCTTGAATAATTTTTTTAGAGTAAAAATTTGGACCATCAAGCCAAATGATAAATTTATATCTTGATTTGATTCATAAAAAGATTCATAGTCAAGATTTTACCTTTTTAGCCTGTAACGTCTTGGTGGACAGCACTGCAGATGCATTTACTTTACGCAATTATGGAAGACGAATCAATTGCACGTTAAGTGCAATGTATCCAGCGGCGATTCGAGTTATTGCACTTGGAGTTGGTGTTAATACTCTCCACGGTACTAATCGTGAAATTGAAACTGGAACTGTTCATAAAGTATGTATGCCTTTATTGGTTTGATTATAACGTAATATTACCTTTGAGGGAATTCCCAGGTGTCCAATTAAAATATTTTATTTCAGTGCGATAAGAGAGGACTCCACGATCAGGCACAACTTGGTGGGAGTGATGGCCTCGATACCAGCAACCTCGAAATTTTGGATTCCATCTGCGGTGTCGATTCTAAACCTGGTAAAAAATTTGGAATTTTCATTCGTCGTTCAAAATTCCACGGTGGCTTTCATGATAATATATCTATATGAAATTATAGATACCCGCGGACGAATAGTGGGTTGCGGTGTGACCTCGGTCAGGTTGACCTCTAGTGGTCTTTTTGATAACTCGGTAACTGTCACCATTCGTCCGGCTACGGAAAACGAAATCATGGAGGCTGATCTGATCTGTGGCATCTGAGGATCACCAATACGAAGGTTTTACCACTTTTATTAAGTTCAGGCTACTCGAGTTGTCAATAATTTTTTTTTTATTTTATCAAAATAAAAATTAAAAGCATGATAGAATATATTGCATTGTTGGATTTCAAAAAAAATATTTTTCGTACCGTTATTTATGTAACGCGATGCATTAGAGTCTTTTATGAAAAATTATTATTTCCTGCTGTCAAGCTGCTATTAAGACCCGATTGTTAGTCAGGATCTATTGTTATTCGTGATATTACAGATTTAAAAGACATGCGACATTCCCCTCTATGAAGACCGTGAAGTTTAATTAAAGTGGATGAAAGAGATAAAGAAAATTTCGTTTAGCGAAACCTTTTTCACAATAAGATTCATCAGGCGGATGTCACAATCGGGCTACGTTTTCGACCACAACAAAATCCCGCTCACGCAAATTAATAAAAATCTGATATATAAATATAATGTATATTTTGTTATGTTTAAATGTATATCGTAAAGATACCTCGATTAAACTTAATGTTAGCATATACCTGTACAATCTGCAAAATGCGGTATTTCCATAATTAATGTACAATCAATCTCTGAAAAGAAGAAACAGCAAAGCAGAACGGTCATAATTTATTTCCATTTATAAGCACATGTGGAATTGCTAGTTTTCTCGCATGAAATCCATACTGTCCAAACTTGTTATGTACGAAATTATATTTTGTAAAAACAAAATTACCCACTTTCCAGGTATCTATTACTGTGGCTGTTACTCTTTCATATATAAATAAAAATTTCGTATTATGATTTATCCTCTAAAATAAATCAAATTCTCAGCATTTAATTATCGAAGATTTTGGTTAGAAGGGGGCGGAGGTCGGACGAACAATTTTGGAGGGGTTAAAAGTTATTATAGCAAATCATCAAATGCTAGGCAGGTATCTTCAAGATAAGGAAAAAGGGTCGGCTGCATAAAAATGATTTTCATATGAATCAATGTTTTCAGAACGGTCGGTATATTGATTTCAGTAACATCCATTAGCCTGTCAATTAAAGTAATTAAAAGTTGTATGTAAAAACAGATGAAACAGAATACCCGTACAATATCAATGACAAAAATCTGACGTATCTACAGAGCAAAAATTGATCTCGAAGCAATGAATAATATCACTTGCAGTTTTGAGGTGTCATTGCCTTATGGCGTTAACGTAGAACAGTGCCTTGAACATGAAACTGATTTCACTATACCTTTATAATCCAATCTGCACTTTGTGATAGAAAACGGGAACGATCAAACAAAACATAATAATTCATCTAAAGCGATAGACAAAATTCTTCTACTTATGATATGAAAAGGAGTTTCTTAATAACGCAAACGATACATGATTGAAACGTTGATGGCGGATTCAGGTGATACGCAAGTAACATCGAGTTGTGATGAATTCTGCTTTACCAATAGCCGAAAGTTACCGACAGTGCTTTAACAGTTTGCTCGATTGGTGGTGCTACGGACGGTGTCGTCAGGAAGGTACGCGATATGTTTTCAGTTAAATTCGAAATATCAGAGCTCCATCGGTGAAAATTTTCTCGCAGTGTACGGTAATGCGATCTACATAATAGACGTGAAAATTTGTGTCAAAGTGAATTTAACCTTGAACTCGACCATGGCCTCTCGGTAAGCTGCTACTGCGCTCTACGTTGGAGATAAAGGTAAAGGAGTTACGTTATGGAATGTTAATTAATTCTCACTGAGGTTTGCATTTATTACATTATCCAATTCAGTCTGAGAGAAGCATATTTCATGCTGTAATACGACGACGTACGCGTGATAAATTGATAAACATATACATTATTAAGGTTAGCAGAGCCCTCCAGTCATTTATTATGTCTTTCGTATCAAAGAACACTGAATTCAGTCGTTAGTCCATGTCTTGATGCGTTTTACTGCCGTGTTAGCTCTTTGATCTGTGGAAATAACCGTCTGATTTATTTTATTCTGAAGTCTCCACGTTTCAGCAAACATTTCAGAAATTGTTTTGACTTCGTCCGACTGACTTATAAGAAAATGGCATATCACAGTAAAAATTGGTACTGACAATCGATTGCAGTACAAGCCGAACAAGCGAATTCCTATAAAAATGGTGGCACGATCACAGCCCGAATTTACCAATAACCCTAAGATAATTCAATTTCGTGGTACTGGTCCGTTCCCTTTCATCATATCTCGTCTCAACGTTACCAATAATTCTCCTCGGATCCTGTCCTTGTGTTTGTGACGCGTTAAATTCCTTGTTCATGTTGCAGGGATTAATTCTCCTGTTCATGATAATAAAGGCATTACTATGGATTATACATAGAGAAAGGACCTTTATCCTCTGCACATGCTGCACGTTGGAGTGTATGAATGTACAACGCAATGCTCTACCTATGTTTCACTCTATTATACGGTCATTACTATTCAGAGCTGACGGTGCTGCAAGTCCTAACGCGCCTCTGCACAGAATAAATATTTACCAGTATACTCCGCGAAGATACTGTCTTTATGTCGAGCGTTTCTAAGTGGACAGGCTCGTCAAGCGAGCGTCACGCAATGGAACTTTGTTTTGTCTAGCAGCGAACCTGGGTATTACAGTGCGGTATATGCTATAGTTTCATTAGACACTCGTCTACGGTCAAACGTACGAGTGAAATATTATTTTTTGAAAATAACTTCAGCTGGATATCTCATATCTGGACTGGTCGTTAGTCGTTCTAAATATCATAATAGCAAAAACCTATTGTTTCCCTTGGAACTTTATCATTCGAATTGAATGTCCCACTCGACCAACCCCATTCTCTTTGGTTGGGAACAGCTGTCACAAAGTATTCATATATCTCAGTATTCATGGTCGGTGGAAGGGTTTTCAAAGGAATCGCTCTGTATATCCAAACGTAATATTCCAACGCAGACCCCGTCGCTGAGTGTGTTCAGTTCGCAGATCTGTTTTGCTTTATCCCACATCTTTTTCACTTAGCTCGCCATGCCAAACAAGCCCAGGGGTGAGACTTCAGGATTCTTGATTTGCTGTTAACTAAGATTGATAACTTCAGCTCAGTATAATCTCTGCCAACTCTTATCCAGTCATTACTTAGCGTCCATGGAATTGTCACCCTGAACACGTCCCTCGGTACCAGATAATTTCCCAGGACGCAATCAGGAATTTTCAAGTGCCTATTATACAATTCTTAATATAATCATTTCCTGGCACTGGGTTACAAGACAGTAGCAAAGATTTTTAATAAAGGCATCCAGTAGCTTTACTTTTGACTTATGAAGAAGTAATTTCAGCTCTATTCTTTCTTTTTTCAACTAATTAAACTGGACCGACAATACTACTTTTTTCTATTGTGCTTAAGAGTAAAACGTATAATTTCATAGTGGACTTTTTGATATTGTAATCCGATAGCTACATAATTTTGTTTATAGCACAACGATACAATTACCAATGATTCCATAATTGAAATTTTTATATTTTATCTCGAATAGAATTTCTGATCACTTATTTCCGGTTTCCTTTCTTCTTTCATCCCTTGGCTATGTAACTCGGCGACGAACCACGTCGAAGCCGTACGTGCTTCCCGATACGTAGTTGGAGTCTACGCCTCAAAGGACGTCGCACTAGGTTAGGTTGGCTATACTCCCGGATGTGAAATGAAATAGCAAAGCACAAGATGCAAGTGTAGGAAAAGTTGCAACGCAGAGAAATCGGTTCACGGATATCAGAGGAATAGTCACATTTCCCACTAGCGACATCTCCGTTCCGAAAGTCGAACGAATCCAGCGTCTCGTGTATTCGCATTTCTGTTGCGACGCTTCCTGGTATATCGACGCCGTCCGCATACACGTGTATCTCAGACGAACGTGAACGAAGGAAAAGGCAAATTCCAGGGCGCCTTTACGAATGTTCTTTTCGGAACGAAATACCTCGCTCAAGCATACCGCGGATCGGAATAAAATATTTTTCAAAATAGCGAAGTAATTTTAAAAACAGATATTTAAAAAAAATTTATTTTGTCTAATTTTCAAAGTTACATTTTTTATTATTTTTTTTTTTTTCAAATAAATCCTTTTATCCTAATAATTGAATTTCGACGAAACGTGGTTCGTTTTTATTAAAACGTCACCGGCAGTATCGATCGTAGCCTGATCGATTGCCATCAATCAAAGACGATCACGGATCCCGCTGGTCTATAATTTGTACAGACATCGCGTAACGCAGGTGGACATTGCAGGTGGGCCGTGCAGGTGCGCCATATTGAATTTATATGTCAGTCACGTCCCTTCCTCAATCTTCTAGCAAAGGATAGGCTGGACGAGGACGAGGATGGGATTTCTCCGAAAGCAACGCTGCTGCTCGCAAAAGATCGCCGAGGCGCGTCCCGGCGAGCAGATTACTTGAGGAAATAATTAAAGTTCAAGCAGGCTCGCTGGTAATGGAGTGCAGCGGCCAGGAAATGGTCGACGCCCCTACGGCGCTCGCACTTCGTATAGAATGTTTAGAGACAGCTCTCACTTGGGGTGTATTTCTAATTAATTACAAGTTGGGCCACGAGGGTGATAATCACTGTTGTTTATCACAACATCGTTTCGAAGCTGTCTCGAATAAGTATGGCTCACTAAACAGCACTGGGGATCTACCTTACCGACAGCCTGGGGGTACCAGACCAGGGGCGATCGTATTTCTGTAAAGTTAGGAGGGTCTCGTTGGGGAAAGAAAATTTTGTTAAAACAATTTCCCACCAGTGGGTCGAACCTTTCATCAATTTCGTTCACTGTATTATACAGTTTCCAAGACTCGTTACCGTTTTTCATAAACCCGTACAATCTTTCAGTTGTGACTAGTCTATGTTAAAAATAAATTCTGCTCTGCGGCCCTGTCAGATACACTTCTGCGTGTAAACAGTACTAAAATCTATATCTCTTTCCCAGCCACTATACAGACTGTGTAAATGATGGGAGTGGAAAATAATTTTTGTTTCTATTTTTTTTTTTCAGAAAAATCAATATGGTCGTTTCAGTGGCCGAGTAATCGGGACTGGCATTGATTCATTGAGTCTTTCCCCAGGGATGCTGGAGCCTATTTCCATTCACCAAAATCCTGTTGACCTCAGGTCGCTTAACCTAAAGGCTGAATCTCGATGTGACGATTAAAGTCGCTTAATCGGGGACCCGGTTGCCAATGCGATTAGGTTTATCTTGCTGGACCAACTTACTCGCGCTTCGTTACTTCCGGTTTCGCGAAATCCCAAGAGACTGGATTCGGGATCACGTGCTTATCGTTGGGTCTGATACCCAGCTTCGGGAACTGGACGAGCTTGGCAACTGATTGAAATACACGATAGACACTAATTAATTAAAAGGTAAGGTAAAGAAGCTATAATTGCAGGTAAATCAAAACTTGTCAATCTCTAATTAATTTTCATATTAATATTTCTCGCAGCATTTATACTTCATATCAGCCGTGAACGTAGATGAATCACAAGTCCTCCAGGGAAAAGCCCATTGGATTTAACACAATACAATTGCAGTCAACAGTTTAATTCCAGTTAAGGTCCTAAAAGCCTATGAGTTTCCCAGTAGAGACGAACTGCATCGTTACTGCACGAAACAATTTCCCAACTCGAATTTCCATGCAGGACAAAATATTTGGTAAGGTTGAAATTTTTTTTTATTAAAAAATTTTTTTCACAGCATCCCAAATTTTACAGATTCATCCACCATCTGGACCAAACGGTAAGTCTGCACGTGACGACAGCCTATCGGCAGACTGCCAGCAACTGCCTGTTGATCGTGAGCGATTGCTGCCACTCAGACGTAACGATCCTCGCATTAAGCAACCCTCCGCTCTCCGTAGCTTCTTCTATCTAAGCCATTGGGAAGCTGCTTGCGCAATGTCTCAGAGAGTTCATCTCTAGGTAGATATAGTAGGTTCGTGTATATAGGTATATACTAGCTGTATATAGGTTTTACGTCAAGCCTGAATCTTCTTTCGTTCAAGGAACGTGGAAAAATACTAATTACTAAAAGGAGCTACACAACGTTCTTCCAACGTAGACTGATAAATTACTCCTATTTTCTACGTGGTTTCTTCCTCGCAAAGGGAAACTAGCGTTTTGCTCGTTGAATGATGTTTGCCAACGGAACTCTGATACGGGACATTTTTTCTGTGGATTTATGTAAAACGACACGGCCGCTCATCTGGCGCGCTAAGACGCGTGAAGTGTTCTCGGTAAAAATTGTGTTTGCAAAATTTAACGTGTACGTTGGTTTTGCAAAATTGTACGTGAAAATTGGGTTTGCCAAATTTTATGTGAAATTTGGGTAAACAATTTTTCTTACAAACACGTACATCGGGACGATGCAATTTGTGGAATTCGTAATCATGGGGATAAAATTGAATTCTTTTTTTTTTTAATTTTTCAATACCACGGGCTCAGACGACGCCCAGTTTTGATTTTTATCTCGCTCGAGCTAATTTTATTTAATTATCGTTATTTAAGCTTTCACGTTATTCCGTGATTAATGAAAATCCTTTATTATTGGCTTATCGCTCGGAGTTACAACGAAGGTACTTTACTCGCGACGTTCTTAAACGTGGTCATTCATTTGACGGGCTTTGTTAAGCCAAAGCCAGGAAATGGGTCATTGATTTTCAAGGTGGAGTCCATTAATAATACGCGGGTAATCCGAAACGGTAACGAATCGTGCTTTTTCATAATTTTTCTATGATTAAAAGTATTCACAGTTTCTACCATATCTTTACCTTTTCGTAATCTCGTGATAAAAATCAATATATAACAGTCGATCGATCCCGATTGTCAAGTCAGTCTGTATGCATTTCACGTAAACAATGTATATACCATGTAATCAGCAGCATGGTCAGCCATAGTACGTACGTACACCTACGTGGGTATAAATCGAGTATCTAGCAGCCTAAGCACCGCCCAGGGAACAGTATTAGCAACTGTCAACACACCATGTATATGAAGGTTCTCTCAACGTGGCCATCGACAAGATGGCGTCGCCGGTCGCTCGCAGCTGCCTAGAATTGACTTCGAGAAAGCAATTTGCTCCTCGCCTCGGTTTTATTGTACAGCCTTCGAATTGTGCCTTGCACACCCGCAGCCGTACTTTGCAGGCTCAGATCGACCGTACCGATCGGTCCAGTGAAAACGTATCTACGCGTCCCGTTGAGCTTTCAAAGTTCTCCGTTACACACCTTCGGGAAATGCGACACGAGAACTAAGTCCTTAGCGGTGAAATGTCGTAGAAGAAAATCTGAATTAAATTTCTTTTTTTTTTTTTTTTTTTTTTAAG